TCCGCTAAACAAGCAGCACGATACCCACCGAAGCAACTCCTAGGCTCCCCCCGTAGGTTCCCAACCTCGCCGACCCGCCCCAATAACTTACTGGAGCATATCCTAGGCTTTCCTACGTTCCCAACATCACTCTGCCATCGTCTGCTGAAGAACTCCCCATGATGCCAACCATCCACCTCCTGAATATCGTCATATTCACTTAGTAGCTGACTCCCATCATTCAAGAGTTCCACAAAGCACAAAGCAAGCAACATTCGTGCAGTAACTCTCCAACCCATGAAACTATCATAGAACATTCAGCCCACATACCACAACTCATGCTATCCACATCCATCTGTTGGATATAGTGTCTAAGTCCATAACTATATTTGGTATGTACTTTACCCGACCCGGCATGGTCCATTTAGGTTGCATGGAATTGCAACACTTGGATAGACAAAAATAAGAAAAAGGTGACTTAAGGTTTATTAATATATTATAAGTTCTAATATATTAATAATATTATTTAATTAGTATTGGTCAAGAATTAATTTAGAATTAATTTGGTGATCAAAAGGAGACTAATTAAATATATGGGGTTGATTGTGTAAATCATCCATTCTTATATAGTGGGCTAATGATCCATGGTTGATGAAGTTGGGCTAAAACCCATAAGGTGCTCCATGGATAGTCCATGGGGGTTATAAACCCATGGATCATGGGAAATGAAAAGCCATGTCAATTAGGGTTTACATGGTGTAACCCTAATTGTGACACAACTATAAATGGACCCCATAAGCTTCTAAAATCGGCACTAAGTGTAAAAACTAGAGGGCAAGCCGATTTTGTGTCATAGTGAACTTCTCTCAAGTTATTCCAAGTATTGTGGTGTTTTGTGAAGCATTTGAGGCATCACAGTTGGGGTGCTAGGCTCACAAAGTCATCAAGGAATCCAAGCTACTAAAAGGTATGTTATTCTACTTGTTTTTTTGTATTACAAGTTCCCCATAACATGCTAGTTAGGATGTAAACCTTGGAAATCAAATTTGCATGTATATTAGAGAAAACATAGAACCAAGGTTTCTAGGGTTGCATGTATACCATAGGAGTGTTAGAATGCTCAAAACCCATCAGTGGTATCAGAGCCTAGGCTTGTTTTCTGTATACTTGATGCAAACTGCTTGAAAAAGTAGAAAATTGTTCACTGTTTGTATGAATTCGCCGAGTCCATGGGGGGGCTCGACGGGTCCACGAGTAAATTCATCCTACTCGCCGAGTAGGTTCATGCACTCGACGAGTAGAAGTCCCTGTGAGCAGTTTTTCGAGTTTAGCTGCTGAAAATGGACTAGAATTATTACCCTAATGTGACAACCCGAAATTTTTTGCCTTGTAAGTCCAGCCATTCAATCCAACCAAAAGTCAGACTCATTTCTATTGCCTTCTAGCCTTGTTTAGGGGCTGTTTGAGCGCTCTAAGCCTAGTACCTTAAAGGATAAAGTGTTAGGAAGTATCTGCTTGAGTTCACTGCACATCATTCAAGCCTTAAACTCCATCTCAAGGAGTTTATGGCCACAAACAAGGAGTTTACGGCCGTAAACTCTTGCCAGCCGTAAACTCATGCCCATAAGTGTCATATTCCTTTACTTTTCTTCATTTCTTACACTTTCACCTCAATAACACTTGAATTCTCTCTCAAGTATCATCAAGAATTACTCCATTTCTCGTCCAAATCGTAAGTGATTCTTTCTCTTATTCCTTGATATTCTTCTCAATCTAGTACATCCCTATGATTTCATCCATAAAATCATCTATTTTGGTTAGATCTTCAAGATCATCAACTTTCACCGAGAACACCAAGAACACACACTTGTTCTTGGTGGTCGTGAACTCCATAAAGCCTCCCAAAGGTGAGTATTCCTTCCATATACTTGTTATCTAGTAGAAGCTCCTGATTTACATCCTTGAAATCAACCAATTTCCAAGATCAATGAGAGTTTACGGCCAGGAGCATCTCCCTTGGCCGTAAACCCTTGTTAAGGCTGCTAGTTTGTCCATAAACTCTTCTTAAGGCTAGGAATGGGTCTAGAACACTTCCGTGATGCTTGAAAGACCTTAAAAAACACCCTTTGGGACAAGACTTCATGAGTTTACGGCTGTAAACACATAGGGCCATGAACACCTTGGCCGTGAACTCATCCCTTTGGTCGTAAACTCCCCTTAGATGAATCACATGTGAGTCTAACACTTGGTCCAAGTGTTTCCTGGTCCCTAAGGGTGTTTCCCTGCATGTTTTTTTTTGAAAGAGCCAAAGCTCAGCAAACTTTATTAAAAAGAATAAAAGAATACAAAAACAAACGGAAATAAAATAGTCAAACAAAATACAAATCTAACCAACCTATCCATAACCAACTACCAAGTCACTTTTTAATAACCAGACTTAACCACCCAAAAAACCTTATTATCCTTAAAGCTAGCCCAAAGACTTATTGAAAGTGGGAAAAAAGGTAACTTCACCCCCTTGCACCACCAAAATCCCCAAAGATCATTAATACCTAAGCAAGGGGTAAGGCCCTTAAAAAAACCCACAGTCCGAAGGCCAAGCTTTAAGAAGAACCCAACAAAACCACAATACTCCCTACACAATACATAACATAGAACCAATAAAAGATAAACACAATTATAACACTCATAATTGCAACTATAAAAAAACCCCATCAATTTATCAATCCCGCATCTTCTGTCACTTCTCCTCTCATCAATCCTCCACTTAGTCTTCAACAGAAAAGACTCCATCTGCTTGCAAACATGATCCAAACCCGACCTTTGCAAAAAATTCCTGCATATCAAGCACAAGCCAAACCACAACAAACTAACACCACAACTCCAAGAAATCAGAACAAGTTTCATACTAGACATGGCATCAATCACATGTCTAGGATTCTCCATTTGGATAATCTCAATAAAGATCATATCCAAACAGAAAATCCCATAGGTACAAGTCACATGATTTGAAAGCAAACTCTCAAACCAGTAACACAATCCGTCAATTCCTTTGTAAAGAAACTTATTCCAAAAATGCCCCCACCAATCCACAGCATTAAGATCACCAAAGTTAAACATCCTTCTATGCCAACCCCAAAACCAATAGCCACCAACCAACAAACTAAAAAACCAGAAAAAGCATCCATTACTTAAACTTTTTCCATTCCAGAAATACCCCAGGCCTTAAAAACTTTATCATTGACCATCTTAGCCTTTTTCCTCAACCGCAACAGCATTAAATGTATTTCACTTTCAATACAAGCAATTAGCCCCTTATACGAATTTCTCCTGTTACTAAATAGTCTATAATTTCTCTCCTTCCAAATATGTGCAACACAACTAGCAAAAACACATTTATTAACCAGATTCTCACCAGAATTCCTTTTAAACAAACTGCACAGCTTCATAATCAATTCATTCCAATCATCCATAAAAAGATTAAGACCCATCTTATTACAAAAATACCTCCAGATAAGTTGAGAATAATCACATTTAAAGAAGAGATGAACATGTGAATCAGGAGTAACAGCACAAAAAGGACAAAGTAAGCTACCAGAAACTTCCCAACCTCTGACACGATCCTGGGTCTTCAATCTATTCAAAATAGCCATCCACAAAATAAACGAATTTCGAGGAATGCAATTACCATACCAAACAAAATCATGCCAAGGAACTTGGTCTTCAAAATTATTTATATCACACCACACCTGTTTGCATGAAAATTGTTTACATATTCCTTTCTTATCTCTCCAACGTGCAACATCCCTCAGATTAGGCTCAATACAAAACATGGGAGCATCCTTCAATCCAGGGAATATATTAACCCACTCAACCGGCCAAGTATAGCAATCATAGACTAGAACATCACTGACCAAGGAAGAATCACTAAACCCATTGCTAACCCAATCTCTTCTAGATATAATAGAACATAAAATACCAATTGGGTGCCACCAATCATGCCAGAGAGAAGTATTCATCCTGTTTCCCACACACGAAACAACATGGGGCCTAACAATTTTTCTCAGCTCAAGGAACCTCTTCCAAGTCCAGCTCATACTCTTCTTCTGCAAAATATCCCAAAAATTCCTGTTTCCAATGTAATTGGATTTCACCCACTGAACCCACAGAGAATTTTTGCTATTAATCACATTCCACACATGTTTAGCTAACAAAGCATCATTCCATTTCCTTAAATTCTTCACTCCTAAACCACCATAAATTTTCGGCTTACAAATATCATTCCACTTGACTTTAGCTTTCCCTTTGACTACCTCACCATTCGCCCACAAGAAACTTCTACAAAGCTTTTCAATCTCTTTAATAGTAGCAATGGGAATTTTAAAAATCGAAGCCCAATACACATGAATAGATGTCAAAACATAATTAATGAGCTGCAGCCTTCCAGCAAACGATAAAGCCTTGCTTTTCCAATTGAAAATTCTCATCTTAATCTTCTCAATAAGCTGTTTACAATCTCTATCAAATAATTTTGTAACACACATAGGAATTCCCAAATACTTAAAAGGAAATCTCCCAATATCAAAAGGAAGAATGCCCAAGATAATCCTTCTCATATTGGGTTTAACACAACTGAAGAAAATCTGGCTTTTTTCCATGCTCACCTTCAACCCTGAAACTTTTTTGAACTCATCAAGAGCATCCCTTATAACTCTAGCAGAATTCCCATTTCCATAAGAAAATACTAACAAATCATCAGCAAAGCATAAATGAGTAATTTTAAGGGACATACACTTACTATGAAACTTAAAATTCTGGCCAGCTTCAATTTTCTTCAAAAGGATGATATTAAACACCTCCATAACTATAGTAAATAGGTAAGGAGATAGAGGATCACCCTGCCTAAGACCCCTCTTTCCTTCAAAATACCCATGATCTTCACCATTAAAGTTAAGCATGAACCAAGGAGTAGAAACACAAGCCATAATCCACTGAATCATTATCGTATGAAAACCAAACCCCTACAGAATTCTACTAAGAAAATTCCAATCCACCGTATCATATGCCTTTTGAATATCAATCTTTATGGTGCATTTGGGAACTCCCCTCTTATTTTTATACCCCACCATCAGCTCCTGAGCAAGGAGAATATTATCCACAATAGATCTTCCAGGAATGAAAGCTGATTGATTTTTGCTCACAATATCACCCAAACTATTTCTAATTCTGTTCACTATAATCTTACTAATACACTTATATAAAGTGTTACAGCAGGCTATAGGACGGAAATCAGAAACTTTCCTCGGGAACTCCACTTTAGGAACCAGCACTATTCTCGTAGCGTTAATCCCCTTCAACAATTTACCAGTCCAAAAAAATTCCCTCACAGCTTTACACACCTCCGGCCCAACAATGTTCCAAGAACTTTTAAAAAATTTGGAGGAGTACCCATCAGGTCCAGGGGCACGATTTTCATCAATATCAAACATCGCCACTTTGATTTCTTCATCAGTCACCACTCTTATCATATTAGCAGCCACCCTACTATCCAATTTATTATGAAAGAAACCATCATTTAAACACGAAAACTCAGTAACATCTTTACAACCCAAAAACTTATTGAAATGAGTAACAAATTTATCCTTTATAGCCTTCCCACTAACCCATCTTCCATCTTCATCAATAACCATCAGAATACGATTTCTATTGCCCCTGCTCTTCACAACTCTATGAAAAAACTTTGTATTATTGTCCCCTTCCTGTAACCAATTTATCTTAGATCTCTGGAATAGAAGCTTTTCTTCATCATTACAAGCAACATTAAAATCAAAAAGAATATTAGTATGCTCCTCCCTAATCTTACAATCAAAAGGATTAAGATCAATTTCAGATTGTTTACTTTCCAACTCCTTTCTTAACATTTGGATTCTCTTCCCAGAACCCCTGTGCTTATTGCAAAGCTCCCTACAATGCTTTTTAAGAATCTTCAACTTTTGGCACACTTTGAACATAAAAAACCTTCAATATTAGCATCCCAAACTTCCTTAACCAGGGGTAAGAACTCCACCTTTTCAGTGATAAAATTAGCAAACCTAAAAGAAGATTTCCATCTCAATTTGCCAACAGGAACATTTAAAATAGCAGGACAATGATCCGACACCCTATAAGGTTTAAAAACAGCATGAGCTAAAGGATGATCCGAAACAAATTTCAAATTGGCCATCACCCTATCTAACTTCTTCAAAAGGCCCTTATTCCCAGCAGGAGTTTTATTCCAAGTAAACTGAAACCCAGAGGAATTCAGATCCTCAACTTCCATAAAGTTTATACAGTCAATAAAATCATCAACTCCTTTAGGTGTTTTGGAACAACCTTCAGAATATTCCGATGGTTTTAAAGCAACATTAAAATCACCTAATATTCCCCATGCTTCCTTCTTAACAACCAAACTATGTTTCTTCAAATTATCCCATAATAACCTTCTCTCAAGATAATTCGAAGCAGCATATATAAAAGACAAATACATGCTATAATTGGAATCACAGAATCTAACATAACAGTGAATAACTTGTCTAGACTGAGAAATCACCATCACATCAAAAAGTCTTGGATTCCATCCAACAATTATTCTAGTTCCAGCCTCACAGCTACTATTATTAGAAACCCAATCCCATTGACCAAAGGTCTTAACACAAACATTCTTAAGATTTAAGACCTTGACATGAGACTCCACCACAGCACATATACCAAGGTTATTACTCCTAATAACATCAATAACCTCCTTCTGCTTAATAGCTTTATTCAAGCCCCTGACATTCCATACCCCTATAGACATCATTGGGAAATAATAGAGTTTTTGGCATTTACCTCCTCAAATGCCTGAGAAATCCCATCTTTGCTTTTACTATTCCCCTGAACCATCATACTATTCTTCATTTTATTACTTTCATTCCCTACATTACCCTTCCCAACAAACTTAGAAGGATCCAACTTATTATTCATTATTCCAACAACATCAGAAGAATAATCAACACAATCACCTTCCTGATAACCATCAACTTTGCCTCCCTTAGCATCCTCTTCCATTCTATCCATAACTTCCTCATCAATCCTTCCCAGGATTTCAAAACTATTTTTAATACTGCAACCATCACTAGAAACAGTCTTATTTTCTAGACTCTTGTTAACACCCACTTTTATGTTATCATCCTTTATAGCATTCCCCTGCATCTTATTCTCCATTTTCTCCTGATTACCAACCAAACCCTAACCATTAACAAACTTCTCATATCTTCTATTCTTTTCCAAATTCCAATGACCCACCCCTTTATTATTCCAATTCCCATTCTGTCCCCTTCCATTACCACCTCTATTCCCATAATTGCCTCTGAAATTATTTCCCCTGTTAAAATTTCCATTCTTCCCACTATATCTTTGATTATACAATTGAGAATGACCCTCCTTAGATTTACTAGTACCTTCACCATCATTATTTCCTGCAACCTTCTTATAAACAACCTCCGTAAATCCATCATCATTAACCATTTCCTTCTCTTTATTTCTCTTATTGTTCCCATTATCCCCATTCTTTACTACTTTCTCTTCATTCAAAGCTGCCAAACAAACTTTATCCGTATGCCCATAAACCTTACAGTGATTACATCTAGAAGGCATCCAAGCATACTCCACATCAAAACTCTGAACCACAGCAGAATTAGTAACAAAATCCCAAGTAGAAACCTCAATTTTCCTCATCCATTCCTTATCAGCCGCCATTTCAACAAGAATTCGAGCATAAGCGTTTCTACCCTTGTGTTCCAAACACATCTCCTCAGTAAAAGAATCAAAAGCCAGAGGCACCCCCAACTTACTCGCTATAATACACAAATTCTCTCCACTCCATACTTCCAAAGGTAAATCAAAGATTTTGATCCACACCAGAATTTTATCATGACTATTCTTGGTTAATTTCAGACCTGGTCTCCACCTTTGAAGAAATAATGGCATATTATTGAACATCAACCATAGGCTTCCCTCCAATATAGATAACATCCCCTGCTCATCACTAAATTTAAAAAAGAAAAACCCTTTACTGTTCATGAATATCTCTTCAAGACCCACATTCTTCCATAGCCTTCTAACCTCTTGCTGAATCACATGAAACGCTAACTTCTTATCAATCATATACCCATATAAATTATTAGTATATGGAATACTCGCTTTCTTTAAATTCTCAATCGGGATAATAACAGGTCCTTCTTCTTTGCCTTTTTCCCCTGGAATAAACTTGACATCAATCATACCCTTATGTCTATTACCTTTTAACACACCTGCATAAGAGTTCAACAAGTTCCCCTGACTATCACCATCCACCTTTTACAACTATTAGCATCACCCAAATAGAAGGAAGCATATTAATACTATTAATAACAGTACCAGACTTCATCTTTAAACTAGGCTCTTTACTCATCTTAGTATTAACCTCCTCTTCCATCACAATTTCCTCATCTTCACTAGACTCATCCTCACTAGATTCATCTTCCCCATCCTCTTCAGAAGAACCATCATCTTCAGAATCATCTCCTTCCTCATTAACTTGCTTATTCAAATTTGACATATCGACATCCATTTCCTGATTCAACTTACTATCTAAATCCTTCCTCTTAGGTGTTTCCACCTTCAACTCATTAAGAAATTGAAAGCCAACTGCCGGAATAAATTCTTCATTACTGATAACCTTCTTATCACCATTAGATCTAGACTTCTCAACTTCATCATCAACCAAATCAGGGCATACAGGTTTATTGACATCAATCACAGCAATGTTAGGATTCACCCTAATCATTTCACTAGTAACACTCTTCAATTCCGAACTAGGGCTCAATAATTCATCATTCACCTTAGAACCATCCCAATTTTTCAACAAATTAGCAGTATTACCTGAAGGAATAGAGACAACTTGAACTCCAATAGTCTTCAGCTCATCAGAACCCCCATCCTTCAACCCCTTCATATTGCTATCATTTCCAGGAATTGAAATATTAGAATCCGACTCCCAGGCCGATACAGACTCCGAGTCATCTTCCGTTTCCTCCTCATTAGCTTCTTCCGTGTAGTATTCCTTTGCATCCATCGGTGATATCCCATCCACAATTTTCCGAGCTCTGTTCTTCACTCTGAAAGCTTTCCCCTCCATTTTCCATTCAGCTTTTCCAATCCCCGAAGCAACAGCTCCAGAAGCACTTGGCTTACGACGAGCTTTATAAATCGTAGCTGAGGACTGATCAATGACCCCAGGGGGAACTAGATCTTTCACATCCACTTCAGTCCTAACGTACCGGACAGCAGCACTTTTATTCGGTGGCTTAACTTTCACTTCCTTCAATCGATCCGCTTTAGATGACGCACCCATTAGGACAACGGAAACAGAAGAGAAATTGCTTCAACGACTAAATGAAATTCGTCGGAAAAGCAGCACCGATGAACCAAAAACTAGATCGCACCACCGATAGAGAGAATCAGGGGAAGAGAGAGAAAGTAGAGAGAGAAACTGAAAAAGTTTAGCATTAGCATTAGCATTTCCTTGCATGTTAGTTGCTTATAAACACTATATTCATGCCAATACATGCCATATATGTCATTTAGGACTCGTTTGTATCTCGGGACTTCATTCGTGGAACTTCTCATCCTTACTCGCATACTCGTTTGAATCACCCACATAAGGTGAGTTCATACCCCTATAATCAATATTTTAAACTGTTTTAAATGCTTTTAACAGGGGGAATACAAGTTGAACACAATGATAATTGTGTAAATGTTTGTTATAAACATCTTTCAAAAGATTACTTATGTCTTTTACAAGTGATCAAAACATTTCAAAAACTCTTTTTAAGTTATGTTACTTTATAGTTTATAAAACTCCGTTTTTAAAGTGCAATCATAACTTAGTAGATAAATGAGTATTTTCAATAACAGTTCAAGTAAACATACACTAAACTATAGTAGGTATAGTTTAGGGGTTCAGTTCATACTAGATGCTAGAACATACTATAAAGAGAAACAGGGAGGCAGATACAATACACAATAACATATAGATCATACTATAAAGAGAAACAGGGAGGCAGATACAATACATGATAACCTAGAGATCATACTATAAAGAGAAACAGGGAGGAAGATACAATACACGATAACAGAAAGAACATACTAAGATACTATAACAGAACGAACATACTAAATGCTATAGCAGGAGAACAATACAGGATCTAATTATACCAATAATCACTAACTCATTGTTCTAAACAAAAGGTGATAGTAAATTGGGTATATATTATCATATAACTTTAATGTGAATTTACACGGCCTAGCAATTTGTTTGCGGAAGTCGCGTTTGGTCCCCATAATCTCTTACAGGGAGAGCGTATAGTATGGGTACTACTCATCACATTATGACCTTAATAAAACAAACATGTTTTAAGGTAATCGGTATGTCAGGATGTCAATTCAAAAGATAACTGTGTAATTACATTTTCCCATTACTTTCATATTGTGACACTTCCACTTGAAAGTTAATGCAAACTTTTTTCGAGTAAAGATAGTTATAAACTAGGGAAAACATACATCTTTTCATATATGTTTCGTATACACCAAGTAATCATAAGGGGTACCAGGTATAGGCCAGTTCATAGGACACTAATTCAATACACCGTTTTCTAGTACAAAACATATTTTTCAAATAGAACATTTGGTATACAAAACTAGAAACTTACCCAGTAAGGGTTTAATCCATTTTATTAAACCAGTATAAACTTAAATGACCTTAGGTGGTTAATTCTATAATACCTTAGTTTATACATCAGGGTTATATATAATTAATACCCGATAGGTAGTTGGATATGTGCTTTCCGCCTCATTTCATGTTCCTTGTTTGGTTGTGGGCTTAGGGCAGATTCACACAGTTAACTATCTGTTCGATATTAGATTATATATAGTTAGTATAAACTAAGTGATTATAGAAGGAACCATTGTGGTTACCATTTTTACTAAAAGAAATAAGGGTTTTCTTAAAGAATGTTTACATCAAATTAAAGGAACCATTACAGTTAACTCCGTGACTACCATGTGAATATACTAAGGTTATATACAACAAGGATCTAACAACCAATGGGATGCGTGACTTCCGCCTCATTTCCTGTTCCTTGTTTGGTTGTGGGCTTAGGGCAGATACACACAACCGATTGTTCGTTTACTCTGGGTTTTATATAACTTGTATCCATTTAGTACTCATAGAAAGGATTGTAGAGTCATTTTTACTTATCGTTCATCAAAGCAGGAAATATAGGATTTTCTGGAGGAACAGGCGAACTTTTCTAAACAGAACTTACAACTTACTATTACTTTCTTACAAATTGCATTTCATCACTAAAATCTTATGAACTCACTAGCTTAAATGCTGATCTACTCTTTCAAAATAACTTGTATTCTCAGGAGACCAGTAGACAGGTACGCGCACTGGGATTCAGAAGATGGAGCAGTATAGCTTCATGTCTTGTTTGTTATTTACTTTGTAGTCTATATTATGTGAACCACATACTTTGTAAACACTTTCTTTCTAATGAAATGGTTGTTTATTACTTTGATTACTATGATGCATAACTGTGATACTAAACATGACGTCCTCCACCCCCGAACGTTTCCACCGTTCCGGTTTTGGGGTGTGACAGATTGGTATCAGAGCATTGTTTATAGTGAACTAAGTATATCAACCGATAAAAGATATACAACTATAAATACAATGGGGCGGAAGTGCTCTGGATAATAATATATTTTAAATATATAAAGATACCTTATAAAAGTATACATACATTCTTATACATATATACATACTAGAACAAGTATCACAAGAAGAACAGAACAGAAGTATTTAAAGGTTGAACACTACGGTCAAACCTAGACAGTTATGTATTCATAGCTAGGATCAATATAGCCTGATAAACTATATTCATTCGAGATGTGACCGACATGTGTTTGGGAGTGATGTGGTGTTGCAACAGTCTTAAAACTTACCTAACTCTATTAAAGAGAATTCTAGATCAGAACATAAAGATAAGATACTGTAGGAGTATTTTAGGCACTATATAAATAACTTATGTGATAACATAAAAGACCCTTGCAGATAGGTCTATAATCTTGCAATGTATACTCCCAAGGTTTTATATAATTGAGATTTTATAGACTTAGAATTTGTGATCTACGCTTCACTACTTGTTCTTTGTTTGGTTGTGGTTTTGGAGTAGGATCACTTATTCGAAGGTCTATTTAATCTTAAATTATATACAACTTGTATACATTGTGCAATTATAGGAGGAATTTGTAACGATCACCCCATAATGTTTCACTTAAATCTCATAGATTCTTTAGACACATCCATTCTCGCACGACAAACCCAGATAGATGTAACCACTTCCTCATAGCAGTCAACAGAAGAGTCAAGGAAGAACAATAGCAAGTTCATGAGAAGTTTTCAAAGAAGGATCAGCCGAAGTGACCAAAACGTTTTATGCGTCACACTAATAAATAATAATTTGGTATAACTTAATGAGTTAGTGGAGACACTACTCGCATTATGTGTTAGGATTATTTTCTTACATGCAGCTGTTAACAGTTATTCAGGTCACATATATTCATTCGAGAATAGCCACTTCTGATTCATAAAGTTTATTAGATTTAGACTCTTTTATGAATTGTTTCCAGAACCCTGTGGAAGTCAGGAACCGATACACTCAGAACTAAGATAACCTTGTTTTTCAGCTTTCGGCTTATATCCACTGCTATAGACTTATTCCATCTCGTCTTTGTATTCTTTTAGCAAAGATGCCTCCTCGCAGATCAAACAGACGCACTACTCCGATAACTCCAACTCCAATGCCACAATTCGATCCTGCTGCTCTCCAAGCAGTGATATCCTCCGCAGTGGCAACTGCCCTAGCTCACTTCGGCGAAAGTGGTACCTTCGGATCTGGTAGCGGTACCCACTTAACCAACCCCAAAGTTACTCACGAACACCCAAAGGAGTGTTCGTATAAGGACTTCATGAACTGCAAACCCAATTCCTTTAATGGAAATGGTGGAGTCATCGATCTAATGCGATGGTTCGAGAAAACATATCTGGTCTTCGAAATCTGTTCGTGCCCAGAAGGGAGCAAAGTAAAGTTTGTTGCCTGCACCTTCTCAGACAGAGCCATGACATGGTGGAACAACCATGTTAAGTCACTGACCCTATCAGTGGCTAACTCAATAGGTTGGGAGAACCTAAAAGAGTTAATGCTGGAAGAATATTGCCCGTCGGGCGAAGTTCAAAAGCTGGAACAAGAACTATGGGAGCTCACGATGGTCGGCTCAGACATAGTGGCCAACACTGAAAGGTTTAGCGACCTGGTAGCACTATGCCCCGGGATGGTTACCCCGGAGAGCAAGAAGATAGAAAGATACATCTAGGGTCTAACTGCCCCGATCCAAGGAGATGTGTTGTCTTCTAACCCAGCCACATTCGATAGTGCCAAAGGCTTGGCTCAACGGCTCATTGACCATGGAGTCTGCCATGGTGTAGAAGTCCCCGTTCCCAAACCATCAAAGGGAGAGGACTACAAGCGGAAGACGGGGAACAAGAGGAAGAAGAAGCGAACAACACAGGAACCCCGGCAGGAGTAACAAACGAGTACTATGTACGCCGCCACAACACCTACTATTCCAACACCTGCCAGTCGATATGCTGGAACCCTCCCGAAGTGTGGAAAGTGCAACTATCACCAGACCGGTGTATGTCGGGAAATGCAGTGCCTGAACTGCCACAGAAAGGGACACACAGTCCGTTTCTGCAGGGCACCGGCTCAACCGATCTCCCAAGTTCCCCGAGTTGATGAAAACTAAGCCTGCTATGGCTGTGGTGAGACTGGACACTACCAGAGGGACAGGCCGATAACAAGGAACTCAAGAGCGGATGGACGAATTTTGATGATCACCGCAGGAGAATCAACCCCGGAGTCGCCAGCGAGCAGCGGTACGTTTTCAAATTAAAATAAGAATTACTTTGAAAATTAATTTATATTTATATAAGATTAAAACTTGGGGAAAACACTTAAAAGTAATTATAATAACTCACTTATTGAAACAAGTCACAGTATTTAAGAGAACTAAAAAATCCGTTCAGAGAAGCCATGATGGCTTAGTATGTACATCAGGGTTGTGCATAGCTAAGATTTTGCAGACTTAGGGTGAGTGATTCCGCCTTAATTCCTGTTCCTTGTTTGGTTGTGGATTTGAGGCAGAGTTATCATAAGTTGTATACTCCAGACGATCGTAGTGGTACCAAGGAGGATCGTAGTATAAAGTATCGACACTAGTTATCAAAGC